AGTATATTTTGTAGCTACGTGATAGGTATAATTCCTGAATGAATACAATTATTCATATAATCATGGGTTGCTAAAAATTAAATTTTTTTTGATTCAAATTCATTAGGAATATTAAACACGTGTACGCGGTGCTATATTTCAATGATTTGACTTATGACGTTGTTGCATAACCTTTTCAGACAAAATAATGTATTTTAATCATAAAATTCCTGTTAACAAATAGTTTACAAACATGTAACCTTTTAGAAAATTTCCATTTTGCAAAAGATCATACGTAAAATTAGTTTTGAAAAGGCCATTTCTTTCTGCGTTTAAAATATTTCCCCATTTCTTTCTTCCATACTCTTTACTAAATCCCGCAGCGTATTTTTTCGAAAAATTTCAGCATTTACTCTAACTCGAATTTTTTTTTTTCTACCGCCATCCTCAGTAATAAGCACGTGCGAAACAGCCCTTTTTTGACAACAAACTACCCCCTTGCCTTGAGCCTGGAGCAATGTAGAGGTGAGATAGACTGGTTGCTATGCAATAAACGTCACTTCCGCACGGAATTTCCACTTCACTTTCCGCCGACGAAATTTGAAGGGGCCAGACTCGCTCCCCCTTCTGCTGTCGAGTGGAAAGAGAATCCCGACTGGTTTTCCGATATCGATCTCGACCGGTGTCCAGACTAGACCCCTGAGTTAGGATAGCGGTATCGTCTGCAAATAAGGCGATAGTAATATGAGATTCTTTTAGAATGTCTTGAGTATTAATATTGTAAAGAAAAGGAGAGAGAACGGAACCTTGAGGGTCGCCTGCTGTTATATTTCTTGTAGTTGAGAGGGTGTTTCCAATTTTGACAGCAATGTGCACATTTGGTAAGCACGTTGAAATTTGTAGTAGTTCTACTTTGTATGAAACATCGTTAAATGTAGGGAGCTCCAACGTATTTCTGAGCTGTGATTGGTTTAAAAATCACGTATACAGAAACTATATTTGGCGACAATATCACCAGAAGAAATTTAAAGACATGTCGTGTTTTGCAGCTTTTAAATCTTTTTGTGTATTGGGCCTTAGTTGCCAATTGTAATTGAAACTGAAGTGTACTTGATTAATTACATTTTTGACAGAATCCTGAATTTATTTTTTATATGCGCATATAATATTACTTTCTGTTTGCACTTCACATGTAGATTGACTGAAATGTTCATAAATCTTTCTTGTTTCTATACCGTAAATAATATACTAGTGTATACACCAATATTTGTGTTATTACTGATTGAAATTCACGTTCAAAATGTTTTGAAATTACTGTAACAATAGTGCAAGCTTAGTAATTCGTTTCTTAATTGCTGAAATTTATTAATATTACTTTTACTTTTGTTTCCTTGTTTAATTCAAAAACATGGCTCTAATTGGTACAGAACCGTATTTATGATACGAGCGTATGTCATTTTTATTTTTCTTCGATTTTTGTGTTTCCGGCATATTGCATTTCAAACACTAAATCTGTGTTAAATAAATATTTTATAAACATACAGGAAATTTTCTTTTTTTCTTAACCATATTTATTATTTGTACTATTGTGTCACATTATAGTACTTGTTAAAAAATTTCAAATATGTGATGTAGTGGTAAATAATATGATGTAGTGGTTCTTTATGTTCACAGTAACAATATTATTACATTTGTTACTCAATTTTTCATTCATATTATTTATTACAAGGAATTCATATTATTAGGAAACACAGAAGTCTTCTGTTGCTCAACATTGCTGGTCCGAAAATCACACTTTCAATTTTTCTGCTGCCAAAATTATTCAAAAAACATCTTCCATTGGAGAACTGGATTTTCTAGAGGCATTTCACACATTCATAAAAATCTTTCTGTTCTAGTTAACGATCCTAATTCCAATCCAAATTTGCCTTCGGCTTTTAGAGAAATTATGTTTTTAGTTCTGGTTTCGCCAACAGATGGCGCCACTTGCTTATTCTTGTTCAGGCTTTCTTATCTTATCTAATCATTATTTCCTATCTTGTTCATTTGCGGTTTTGCAGCTGAAGATGATGGTTCGGTAAAACCATCGAAACAAGTCCTGTGAAAATTTTGTAGGTATAACGCTGATTTTTGTTGTTTGACTTCTGAATTAACATGAATATAGTTATGAAAAAATTTTATTTTTTAATGTTAATGAAACAACCAGTGTTCAATGACTTTAATTACGCTGGCACTGAATACGTTAACAGATTTCTGCAAAAGAATAATTTGTATTTCAATTAACCTCTTTTTGAACCACTTTAACTTTCACTTGAACCAAAACAAGTTAACATGATAGAGGAAGCATTTGACTGAAAATTTACTCAGCCATTTGGTTAAGTATCTTTATATTCAGTATCATTAGCACACCCCGCAGGAAAGGAACTTCTAAATATCATCCTTTATTTTTACCATTTACAATACAAATTACAGTTTTTGTGCAATTTAGTTGATTCTTAAGATGAGTACAAGTATTACATGTATATTAAGAACATAACAATTTAAAGTTTAGAAGGAATTCAAAACATACCTAAGAAATAATTTTAGATTTATAAAACAAATACTGTTTAATAAAATCGCATAAAACTTTGAAATTTATCATTACATATATAAAGAAAGCATAGGGAAAATATTAAACTGAAAGAATCAACAAGAACTTCATATTTAATTGCTTTTGCTGATTTTTAAAGTCTGGAAAATACTCCAATGAAAAGACATTTATCAAACTTTCCTTAATGAAGTACTCATCCAGTATTTTTATTATAAGCACAAATTACAAAAACAAGAAATCAAGATATAGAATATATTTCATAATTAGATTATGACTAAAAAACTCATATAACTAAAAATATAAAAAAGTACTTTCAAGTAATCTAAAAATCTGTGTTCACACTTTTTTAAAACAAAAAAAAAAAAAAAAAAAAAAACATTTTCCGTTTTGTAGGAAATTTAATTTCATGAAGCAATCAATAAATAATAACTAAACTTTTTTAATTTTTCATTATATCTTAATAATTCATTACATTTATTTATTAAAATGGCTTCTTTTTTTTTTTAAATATGTGTGGTCTTCAGAAGAAACAACATAATCAGTAACTTCACTTGCAACATTTAAAAATTTCACCCTTAATATGATCCATTTCATTCGCCAATGGTTTCGAAATTTTATTTCTTCTAGTTTTGGGTTTCCATTCTGTAGGTAAAAAAAAAAAGATGTCTGGGTTTTTATGCTTACAGTTTGACATGTCTGTGAACTGACACATCTAGCTGAGAGTTTAAAAAAGTGCTTAAATCGTTTAATATTCTGCTTGTTTTAATTATAGCATTATTTTGGGTCACAGGATCATGTCTTATTAGACTGCTAATCTTCTGAATTAATTCAACAGATTTATTAATTCGAGAACTAGGTGTGCTTTGAATAGGAATATGGATTTTTGAACTGCTTGGTGGATAAATATTTGAAACAGTGTGTACAGTAGTGGTGCTTCCAACTGATATTCTCTACCTGAAATTTTTGATTTCATATCAAATTTAGTTCACACATACTACTCTGCCCAACGTTTATTTTTTGCATGACAAGACATATGTGTTTGCATATGACATTCCTAATTAAAAATCTAAGCATGTGCAACTTACATTGTGAATACAAATTTCACATGATATGCAATGCATGACTGTATCTGTGCCCACTTACTTTCTTTTAATATAGCCGGCACTTCTGTGTGTATTTTGTGCTTAACTGAACAAGATATGACCACTGCTGATATTCACAAATGCCCTACACTCATTTTCATTGCCTTGTTGAAAAATACTGGAAAGCATACAGCCTGATGACCTAGTGGCCAAAAGACTGGCATTTGATAAATAAAGTTCTTAAAATTATTGCCTATTTGAATAATGCTTATAATTTTCAGCAAAATCATATGCACATTTGAAAACATTTCAAATGCATTTTTAAACATTTCTTGAAGACCAATTTCCTGTATTATGAGTTAACATTCTTCTTGATGTCTTGTGTAATTCAAGTGTGAAGAATCACAATATTAAAATATTATCACTCTTTTAAAGCAAATTTTAAATTTTTTAATTTTTTTTTTTTTTTTTTAACTTTCAATTTTTAATAATTTTTAAATGAGAATTATTTTAAGGTTTTCCAAAAACTTTTTGCTTTAATATGATGTTATTTGAAAACAAGTTAACTTTCTAAACTTTATTAATTTACGACGAAATTTTAAAAATGTTGTTTTCAAGAATAATACCAACGTTGATTGATTACAAACGTATACTAATAAGTTTGGTAACATTTTACATTTATAGTATAATCGCAAAAAATCCTATTCTGCAAATACATACACAAAAATAACTTTGTGAATAATCTAAATTTATGTCCAAACTGTAGAATTCTTTTTTTTTTTTTTTCCGGTTACTTCTAATTTAATACAATTCTAATAATAATAGCAATAATATGTTAACGTATCACTAGAATTACAAGAGAAAAATCGGGCAATAGCCGACACCAGATGTAGGTAACTTTCCTGTTACATTATCTTAAGTCATAAGTACTTACATTTCATTAATGTTTTCTGATGATATTAAGCGACCGAAACAATTCAAATGATTAAAATAAATCCCATTATTTGGCTAACACAAGTTTCATGATATACTTTTACGAAAGCTCAATTTTAATATGCTATTGTTCTAAATATAGCATGAAATCTTATGAGTTTTGTTTTCTGATGTTTAAGAACTAAGCTAAAGTCTTTCAATGAAATTAAAAACCGGATTATAAATACCAAAATAACTTTCATTACCTCACACAATTAAGAATTCTGTATCGACATACTTCGGACATCTCTTCTCATAACCATTCCACTTCGCGGAACTTCCTTTCTGGCGTGAGAAACAAATTGATGCCAAATATGCTCGCCACAGTTGCCAGAAAAACACAGTGGAGCTTCCTTCATTTAACGCAAGTCCTTTCTTTGTCAATACTATCGCTTTTCAGGAAATTGTTGTTACCCCCCTTGATGATTTCCGTGGACAATCGTCGCTACTAGCAACGTTTCAGAGAAATGTATGAAACCGGTGATTACATAAAAAAGAGGGGATTAGTAATTCCGATAACTAACCTCTTTTTTTCTTCTCGGTTTTTTTCCCCCTTTACTTGAGTGCTAATTTATTTCGATTTCATAGCGTGCAGTAAGAATATGTGATACTCATGGCGTGTCGTAGAATTTGATGATTCAGACTTTCAGGAGAAGGTATGTGTCTTTATAGGATACAGAGGAAAAATAACAATTTCTCAGAAGAAATTTTTGCAGTATGATTTGATCATGTGACGCTAAGAGATGTAGTAGAACTACAGAGTTAGTTGAACAATGTGCTTGTTTAACTATAAACACTGTAAGGAAATTCGTAGAATTATATTGCGAGGTTTCTGCAGTCTTTAAAAGTTGAATTTAATTCGAAGAGTGCTATGGAAGTGGTGGCAATAATGAGTGAACATCATACAGCTGTGAGGGTTGAATCGCCTCAGCTGCTCTACTGACTTACTGTCATCTTATAAATATGTTGAACCTGTGGTCATTGATCAACCTACCAGTCATGATCTTGACCTTTTTTGCAACAATCCGTGAAAGCGCTGGCTCGGGTAATGACATATCTTTTATATTAATTTATTTGAGGTAATTGTCGTTTATGATAAACCCATTGGAAAAAGGTAAACAAGTATTTCGTCTACATTTCTTTTTTAGTATCATGATGGAAAAAAAATCAAAGTGGTTTCATATCATCTGTCTACATTTGTTTATTTATTTATTTATGGAAGGCAAAGTTTTTAAGAAAAATCAAAATAATTTAATACATATTAAATACTTTGACTAGCTTATTGTATGTATTATATATTCTTCAAAATAATTTTTTCCTCAAAGACATAAGAGGGGGGATATGTATTTATTTTGCACATTAAAGTCGAGTTAAAAAAAGTGATATTTGTGTAATGGATGCAATGAGGTGTCATTATGAAATTATATATATTTTATAGTATACTACATAAAATACAAGCCAATAATATATAGAAAACTGTAAAAAGTACAGGATGTTTGTTTTTCTAATGGGTGAAATATTATCAGCTAACGCCTTTTTATTGCTTTCAATGCCACTCAATTAGATAAAAGCTATAAAACAAATCTATTTATTTGCAGCATTTTAAATTGTTTCCTGCGAAATCTGTTTTCTAAATGTAATTCCGTCTGTACTTCTAATTGTAATATTCTCATTTTGATAAAATTTGATGTGCAATCTTTCCCAGTGGAGAGTATTCAATGTAAAGCCAAGAACTATGATTAGGAATGCAAACATACTGTGACATTGATGTTCTTATTTCATGACATTATTCAGTGATTTAATCTTTGATCTTGTTTGTTCTTTAGCACTACATAAAGATTTTACTTATTGCATTCATACACTGAATCTTATTCAATTCTCCTGTCTACACATTTATTTATGTAGAATAGTGTTCAATGTAAAGCCAAGAACTACGATTAGGAATGCAAACATACTGTGACATTGATGTTGCTATTTCCTGACATTATTCAGTGATTTAATCTTTGATCTTGTTTGTTCTTTAGCATTAAATAAAGATTTTACTCGTTGCATTCATATACTGAATCTTATTCAAGTGTAATTCTCCTGTCTACACATTTATTTATGTAGAATAATTTATAATGTCTTGCATCAAAATCGAGTTTAAATAATAGTTCGAGTGTGAAATTTCCAGTTTAAATAATAGTAATATCATAGCAGTTATTTTTGTTCCAGAAACAGCTCAGATTTCTTTATATTCATCGTATTTAAATTTTGAATTTGCAGACACAAATAATTTGCTATATAGTCAGAGAGTAAAAGCGGAATATTTATACATTTTAATAATTTTTGTTTAAAATTTATAAAACATTTTATTATTCTAATCATTTTGTAAAAATTAAGAATAATGCTGTCGTCAGGATTGAAAAGAAAAGATTTGCTGTCTCTCCACCAGATGGCGACACTTCTCATTTTTAATGGAAATAAATCGTAGTAGTCAGTTGTAATTAGTACATATTAAAAAGTAAATGATATATATGTTATGAAATATCGTAATTTTTTAAAGTTTAGCTGTAATTACTTTAAATGATATTTTTATGTTTGACGAAATCATTTATTACCATAGTGTTGTGAAATGAATTTATGTCCCCGTAAATTCATTATTTACGTAAATTTCCCAATAAATTACATATCTATAATGCGAGCATCATATGATTGAAATTAGTAGTTTGTATTTGAACAACTGTAGTATTAGTCCTTTTGGCGATTTTTTGACCCGGCGTTGACGATTGTAAAAAAATGGCGGATCGTCAACAAAACCTATCAAGGATAAATATATCTAGACTAAATAACAATCCTAAAAAATAAGTGCTTGATTAGAATACTGAAAAAAAAAAAAAAAAAAAAAAACTGTCTTTCTATAATTTTCAACCCTTAGTACTGCTAAGATAAATTCTTGGAACACTGCCATAAATGAGTCGCATGTTATGAGTAATGAAATTTACAAAAGGTTAATAAATGCATTTTAAGCTATAAAACCGTTGAGTGCTTGAAATTTAATATTGATGAGTCGGATAGCTCAGATTCTTCAAGCGATAATCTTAGTGGGATTGAGTACCTCCGTTAAAAAAAGAATGTTTTCAAGGCCACAAATTTTAAAAAGTGCAAAACTATAAACAGTTATAAATACAAGCTAACATTTTAAAAATATATGGTATAAAAGTGTACCACCAGTAGCTGAATGGCTAAGATCACTGACTTTTGACATTGTTTGAACCCAACCAAAATGGTTGGATTCATGGACAGTTTTCATGGTTGTTCCCATGTGTAATGTGAATACCAACCTGTCTCCTTTAGAAAGTCCTCCACGAATGTATCTCACCCCTTAGTCATATAGTTGTTGTGTACTTTGCCATATTCAAATTATCTAACCAATACAGTTAACTATGGTAGAAGGAAGAAAGGTTTCTGTCTAAAGGATGAGATGTCTTCATGGAGACTTTATAAGGGAAAAGAACATCTTTTATATAATACAGTGATCCCATGTAGTTCAGAGCTTACAGTCATTACAGTTGAATTTTTTTAAATAATTTTTTAGTTCTTATGAACATTTGCACTTTGTTATAACTAATAAAAGCCATTTCTAATGTTATATTTTTAACTGATTTGTGTAGGCTTAATTGATATAAGATCTTTTGCTACTTAATTTTTAACTGATTTTTATGTTTGTTTTACAATTTTAAAGTTCTTAATATTTTTCTAGTAGCTTGAAAATTTTAATGGTAAACTCTTCAGTAGTTAGACTGTAATCTGAAGATCTCAGTTTCCAGTATTTTTATTTATTTTATTTTTGATTTTATACAGTAATAAAAAAGATAGGATAAGATGTACTGTAGGAGGGTGATTGTTTGGGCATGACTGGAAGAGTGTGTTTTAGGAGACAATCCAGGATATAATTTTTATGATGTATGCTATAAAATATAGTGAAGAGTTTTTAAATAATCACAAATTAAAATGGAACTACTCTCAAATTCCACGCTGCCGTATTACTATCTAAATTTTTTATCTACATTTCGAACTTTGACCAAAATGTCTCAAAACAAGGTTTCGCATATGCAAACCACGTTTTGAACACACAATTTAAACTAAAAATCCGAAACAAACAAAAAAATTTAGAAAGCAGAAACGTAAAGTTCTAACCAAAATATTTGACAAATTCATGTACACAGCGATATGTTTTAAACTTAAAAAACATTCTACGAATTGCACAATCTAGGCAACGAACGATCTACGAATTACTCACACTTGCTTTAATAAATTACATAACAACAATAAATTTCAAAGAATACCATGTACAAGCATTCTGTTTCCTTAAAGATCTACAAATTGTACATCTGACGCTACAACTAATCAACAAATAAACTAAATATTTTCAAGAATTAAAAAAAAACAACAATAACAACCGAAATACGTACTAAAAAAGATAATATAACTTCTACAAATAAACAGAATAAATAAAATGCACTTACCATGAATTAATGCTTTTTCGAACAGCAGAAATACCAATTTCATACCACCTTTAAAATGCCACCACGTAATCACTATCATATTTATATGACAGTCAGACGCACTATCCAGAAAATTAATACTATGGTTCACAAATAATCACAAATCCCTACATCTATCATTCACAGCCACTAAAAGTAATCTCCCAGAACCTCTTTTCCACACCTCCAAATACCCACTGCCCTTCAACAGGATGGCCACAATGATATTTCCTTTTTGCCGAACTTCAATTCAACAACTTCCACCATTTTATTTCCCCCCTATCTTCTCAGACACAAAGCATGACGGGAACCAATGAGCTCCAGCATTCAACATCAACAGGGTTACCATACAACATGCAATCATACCAAAAACCAGCACAGAACACATATCGCCACATTTGGTGAAATTAGGGTGCATATCAGAGTTGTACCATTAAAATCAAATTAACATCTTTAGAAAATAAAAATCGGCATTTTTCCCCTGGTTCACTGTTTTGGAAGCAACAAACTGTATACACTCTTAAAAATTAAGAGAAAATAACTTGCTACCAGATTTTCTAAATTTATATGTTTTACTTTTATCTAAGCGAATGGTCTTGGGAAAAGAATTTAACCCAAACTACAAGGAATACATTGTTAGCTCTTCCGTTTCAAGTTTTAGGTAATGATTCGGGTTTTAAATATCATCAAATTCGTATGCATCACATTTAGATAATAGCAAAACACATATATAAAGTAAGACAATAATACACCCTACGTTTTACACTACAATGAACTGACAATTTCAACTGCATCTTCATCGCGTAAAAAGATTGTTACTTAAAAATACGCTGGATTTGGCAAGAAGGCGCCAAATGTGCAGCGAATTGGAGGAATTAAATTTCCGCGGGTTGTTTGGTGCATATAGATAACTTGAAGAACAGGGTGAAAAATCATGAAAAGGTCGTTCTAGCCTCGTAGTAGTTTTCGGGTTAGCTTGTCATGAAGTATAGTGTATGTTACTTTAGTTTCTTAGATTCTGTTATTAAAAGTAAATTTTAAAAAATGTTTCAAGTTGACGTAAATTAAATTAAATCATCATAAAGAGTAAATTTTGTTCAAGTAGAAATACTTTTTATGAATTAAATTATGCAAATGATAATATTATTGAGAAATGTGTATTTTTTAATCACTCAATTTATGGTTATAATTTAAAAGCTAAAATATCGTAATGCATAAATTTTGTACCAATGGTAATAATACACAACAACAATTGTCATAACTGATGACTTCTGTGAAAGATTGGAACAGTCTTTGGAGTGATAAGCCTCTGAACACTGGTAATTCAGGCTGGCAGTATGGGAGTTTTTGTGCTTTTCCTTACATGTAACATGAATCTGAGCCAATTTCTCTTAAAAAGTCTTTTTTCAAGGCATTCTTCCTGTGCTAGCCTGCATGTATATTTACTTTCTATTCATAAATACTGTTCTTTCTTCTTAAATACAGATCCCCTTAGTTTGTTTGCCCTTTTACAATAACTATTGGGCAACAAAAATTAGCTTGTTTTAATAAAGAAACTAATGTTTTTAATTATGAGTTAAATGAAATATTTTGAAAAGTAATAATTTCTTTTTATTCTATGCTTTAACATTTCTGTAACTATCCACATCATTTTTATATGAAAGCTTTACATAGCAATGATGTAAATTTGTGATAATAATATTTACCTAACTTTTTTCATTCTGAAACAGTTTTTTCCAACAGCAATGAAGTGATGTTTCTTAATACGTGAAACTAATTGATTTTTTAGAAAATAAATCTCATTTGTGAAGTGAAGAAGTGTCGTATCTATAGGTTGAAAAATATGGTTATTATGTTTGCAAACTCCTGTTCACTTTTGGACAGCATTTAAGTAAAATAAATAATCTGTATATAATCCAAACAAAAATGTATTTCACTATTTCATGTGGTTAATAATTAATCGGGGAACAAAGTATAATGTAAGGTTCCTTTATTTTGTAACCAGAGTTATTTTATGTTTGGGAACTTTATTGTCCCTTCCCCCGTCCGTTTTCCGACACTAGTATGCAAGTAAGGTTTTTAGTTTATAAAACAAAGCATGTTTTACCTCTTGAGGCCACATTACTAGGTTCCTAGATAAGTTAAGATTTGTAGTCTTGTTTCTTTTTTCATTTATGGTAGCCTGAGTAATTGAATGCTGTGGAAATCCTATTATGACGTAATCGGTTGCATGATTGCAGTAAATTCATAAGGGCTTGTGTGTGTGTTGGTTAGGAAGTATATTGCTTGTTTTGTGCTTTAGATGGTAAAATGGCTGAATGTGGTAAGATTAATTTGAAGTTTCTGTACGATTTGGAAAGAAAGGGGAAACGAGCATTACTTGACTGGTGTGTAAATGAAGGTTTACTTAGTAGCCTCTTTGTAGGAAGGAAATGCGTATGGTCAAACGTCAGACAATAACGGCACTATGAAGGATATTTTTTTACTCTTATTTTGTGAATTTATGTGGCGATGCCAGTATACAGATTCTAGTTCAGATAATTTTAGGAAGTTTTTGGATGCTATTAAGGAAATTTTTTTTTGACTGAAGACATGTTACTTCGTAAATAAGGGAAGTGGATATTTCCTTTGTGCAACACAAAGATGAATTTATTTTTTATGTTATTTCATTGTTCGATTTAAAATGTAGTTTATTGAGATTATATATTTTTTGGTTGGCTGCTGCTTTGGTTTTTTAAGTGAATATAGTTTGATGTGTCAAGGACAAAGTCAAGGGAGTGTGCATTGCGTAGTTTGTGCAATTCTGTGATTTTTTTTTTTAAAGTGAAAATAGGTTGATGTATACATGGATAAAGTCTAGAGAGTATGTAATGCCAAGTTATGCAATTTTCTGATTTTTTTTAAAATTGAAAATAGGTTGATGTGCACATGGATACCAAGTTTGTGCAAATCTTTGTCTTGTTATTTTGCCTTTGTGTAGCAGTGATTTTTGGGCCAAAAATCGCCACTACACAAGCCAAAATAACAAGTCAAAGAATTACACAACCTTATTATCCTTATATCGCTAATTTTCACCAAGAGATACCTGTAAATATATTCTACCTATCTTTTATAACCTTCTCATGATTCAGTTGTTACTTTAGACATAGTGATAATTCGCTTAATGGCTATTTAACATTTAGTTACACTGTATGATTGCAAAGAATATATCTAAACTTCATAATAATTACATTTAAAGATGTTGAAATTGGTATGTAAGTACTAGCCATGTAGTCAAATTTTTATATATACATTGTACTCTCACTTTTATTAAGCAGTTTTTATTTCGCCAAATTCTGATTTCTGTTCGATAGAATATCTAAGTAATGTAGAAAATTTGCATAAAATTTAAAATGAAAAGTTGACAGTTATGTCAACATATTATTAATAAAAGTAATGACACTCTAAGGTTATTCATATACAACTATTAGAATATGAGATTTACAAGATTTGAGAACTGTAAATTATGTGTAATTTATTCCATAATTTAGGCAATGTTATATGTTTTAGTTAGACAAATTAAAAAATGTTATAAAAGCAATAATGAAATCTGATTTTGCTCTATGAATTCACGCAGTTACACATCCCTATCGTTCTAATTTAAGAAATGAAGTAAAAAAAGTATTTAGAGCATGGTAATTTTGATCATGGTCCATTTTAAGAACCATGTAAAAAGTCTTAAATTTGCACGTGGTTCCTTAGCAAAGAAAACACCAACGGTTTACCTCATACTAAGGTAATCATGTGATGTAATATTAGAAACATCATTCTTAACTATCAAATTTTGGCTTTTTAAAAAATAATTTTAAAAGTTTTATTTTTACACTGTGCTTTTCTAACACAAAAGTAATTTCAAGAAAAACTTCCAATTTATCCCGCCTGCCATCAAAGCTGCGATACCTACCAAATTCATTAAAGTAACATGGACAGAAATGGTGACATGTGTTTCAGCTCAGTATTCAGGGTTATTATAAATTTTCATTAATCGTCCCCAATTATTTGCCAAAAGAAATTCTCGCCAAAAAGGACTAATGCTAAAGGTGTTCCTTCTTGTTATATCTTTTTTTGTAGTTATTTCTCTAATTAAAATCAGTGGTTTTTTTTTAGGTGTACTGGAAATAGACTTTTCTGTGTCCTATTTTAATGAGCCAGGTTTATGTTGTTTAGAGATGCTGATTTATTTGATAAAAAAGTCGTTCTGGCCTTGTATCTGGTTTGAGATTAGCTTGTCATGAAGTATAGTGTACGTTACTTTAGTTTCTTAGGAATGACTGTATTCATTACAGCATTAACTGCAAATAATGGAGTCCCAGTTAATGCATTTTTTCCCCCCAAAAAAGATCTTAATTCTTTTAAAAAGTCATATCATATTGAAAGAGTCTTATGAGCAAGTAAAGTGAATTTTTTCTTTTTTTCGAAAAATTATTTTCTGACCTGTGAATATCATGTTAAGTGAAAGCAAGGCCGCCGTAACAAATATGAGAGTGCAGGTATAAAAATATTAGACATTATAATCACACTGGATTGAGCTATAGTTAAATGTTGCTTATAATTAATTATGATTACAAAGAATTTGTTTTTGTATTAATTCTTTTTCCAATTTAAGTAATTTAATTTTAACTTAATAGTTATCTACAAATTATATCTATATATATATATATATTGTGTAAGAAAAATAAAGAATATATAAAGATTAAAAGCAACGTAAATTTCCCTTCTCTTTTCTAAAAATAGTAACATTTCTCTGCACTGCGTCATTTTGGGAAAAATCTGTGTCATATGACTCTTACGTACTTCTGGTGATGTAAATGGAAGTAAAACTCAACCAGCCAATAGTAATTTTAGAGCAGTATTAACTATCCAATCAAAATGCTTTGAGAAACAAAACTAACTCAGTTTGACTTAAGATTTCATCCTGAACATTACGCACTTGCTTTCCACGCTTTGGCCTAGCTACACTGCTGTCTATCTGTCTGTCTGCTCTACGTTCTTGCTACAAAATTATCAAAAATGTAATTTATTATTTTTAAAAATACTGTGTAACTTATAAAATGCCTTTTTTTCTCCTTCCAGGTTTACAGTTAAATTCTTTCATTTCACACTTTGAGCCTCTATTCTATAGTCCTAAATCTCTTGATGATCATATTCATCGCAAAAAACGTTCTGCAAAATCCGAAATCAGGTTACAGTTTACTGCTCATAATAAGTAAGTACACCAAGTGTGACATGAAAGTGAAATTTTATGGCCTTTTTGTATATTTGAGTTATTTTGACATTCCAGCAAACTTTAGTTTATGTCAGAATCTTTAAAAGACTGGGGAATTTTAAATACATCTATTTTATATTTAATTTTTTAAATAAGTGTATTGTTTTAAGAAATACTCTTTAAATAAAAAGAAGAAGAAAATATATCAGTAGGTAAAATTATTTATTACAACAATGTACTAGGTTTGTCTGGCTAGTGATGCCTTTGTAGAGAAATTTTCATATGGATAGATACTGATTGACAATTCATCACAAATGGCACCATGGTGTTTATTAATAAAATAAATTCTACTAAATTTTTTTGTATGTTAGGATTGTAATAATCCTAACACACTGTTAGGATTGTAATAATCCCTAAAAATAAAATGTGGTTCAAGATGACAATCGCTTTACCTTCCCCCCTGAAAAAAAAAGGTTGATAATCAAGAAAATACTAGATTGAACTAATAGCCAAACCTCTAGACCTCCCAAACCTAAAAAAATAAATAACCGAAAAAAATTTAAATTGACCAAAAAAAAATTTCTCTGCCATTCTTTGTAAAATCTACTTACTCAACAAAAAGAAGCAGAGGTTCAGTAAAAAGAATTTTTTCCCGACTAGGATTCTTGCATGTCACTTTCAAACGTCTGCTGGCTAGGGAATTACACTCCAGTGGAACGGTGCTTCGAAACACCAGGGTGCCTGGGCCAGAGGCCCTACCCGTTGTAGAATAAGTTAAAAGTTTTGATTGTTATTAGAAAATAACCTGAGTATTAACCTCGAATAATAGTAAGAAAAACTAACTTAGATTGAATTAAGCTATGTAATTTTAAGACGAAAAATTAAGCTAGTAAAATATAAGCAAAAGATTTAAATAATTTGGATTTTAAAATATTTAAGGATGCAAAAAATTATTAGCTGCAATCCAGAAAGCTGTCGAACTGTTGAGCAAGATACATGTAAAATGCTGCAAAGTTCAAATGTTCATGAGAGGTAAAAAGTAAAAGAATTACTCACAGGTGGTCGTCTGCATGAATTTCTGTACGGTTTGAGGTACTCCTCTCAGTTTCCCAGCCAGATTGGAATTCGGAAGGAAGCTTAGGATTTCAGAAAATACTTTTAGCAGTTCTTGAATATCCAGACTAAAAAACTAGGATAAGAGTCCTTCCAGGATGTTTGGTGAAGTTGGAGGCTTGCTTCTCAGTTTTTCGCTGTAGCTAGCTTTGCTTGAAGTCCTGGTCTGCTGAGGGTCTGACTTTGTTAGCTCAGAAAAATTCTCTCGCGTAGCATCTGGGGGTGGTTTCTGCTGAGTTCCAGGTTTACTTTTTTTCTCATACTTCTCCTTGTATGCCGCGCAACCACAAAAACTGCTTACATGGTCCCCTTGGCAAAAAATGCCAGCAGGCCTTATCCTCTGTTTTTTTTTTTTTTTTTATTATTTTTTTATTTTTATGAGCAAGTATTGCTTCTGTGAGGTACTCCACACTTGATGCATCTCTTGGGATTACTACAAAGGTGCTGCGTGTGTCCAAAGGTCTGGCAACAGAAACATTGCACAGGCCTTTTCTTCGGATTGTAGTTCTCCACTCGTACATCAAAACGGAATACATTATTCAGTTGAAAAATCTTTCCCTTCAGTATTCCGCTTGAGTTCAACAGAAAATATGGGGATCTTAGCTTTCACTCCGTCCTTGCTGCTCTTAAACTGCTTCACCTTAACAGCAGAAAATCTTTCTATTTCTCAGGTTGTTAAGAATGGAGTCTTCTTTAATAGAGGCAGGGAGTCCCTTCAGAATTACCCTAATGTTCCTTTCGTGATGAGGTTGGTACGTATGAAATGCAGTATTACGTTCCTTGAGAAGTTTCTTCATACTTTGGTAATCCGCTGTGATAAGGTCGCATAAATCTACAACGAATGATTTCAAATAGCAAATTCAGAGTGCAATATGCATCGTGATGAAATCACGGGACTAAATATAATTATTTAATTGTTATTAAAATTATATTAAGTTGTAAAAATATAGTTGTTATTAAAATAATATTAAATTGCTGGCAATGTTAAAAACGCAGGCTTGAGAGCCACGTATGGCTCTCGCACGATTGATGGATAGAATCTGATTTTTAAAAAAAAGATAAGTTTTTTCTCTTCAGAATTGTATGTAGCCATTTTTAGCATTCAATAATTTTTTTTTTATGCTGTGTTTTGTTTTCAACCTGATGTCACAACCCAGGGTTTGCATAGTGGTTTCGGCCACTACACCACGGCAGTAAAGTTGGTGGCAGCGGTGGGACTCGAACCCACGCCTCCGAAGAGACTGGTGGTTATTGAAAGTTAAGCTTGTGGTTACTATTGCTAATTGAAATTAAATTGTTTGTTCTATTGTTTTAGTAACTTTTTAAATTGTATGAAGTATTGTAACGGTATGCTTTAGAAAAATTTAGTTTTAAATCAGTCAGAGTTAGAGGACAATATTTATATAGTGATATAGAGCAGGAAAAGGTTGCCTCTTAATTAGCATTTTTTTATATACGATTTGTATGTACGCATAGGTATTATCATTAAGTGTTTAAGGCAATTTGTGTTCAGAATTGTTAGGGAATTATTCAGTTTTGGAAGGATAGACCTGTTGTTTTTGTGTTATTGTATTTAGGGATAGGTTATTTTTCTTTAATTTTACATAATGGGTGAGTTTATGAGGAAATTTACTAAAGCTCTGCCATTGGAGTTAGCAAAGGAGTTTGAAACAAATGTGTCTCAGGCAAATAGAGTAAGAGAAATTAGGCAGGCTATTCTAAATACCGAGGACTATGAAGAAGAAGCTGCGAAAAAACGTGGCAAGAATTTGCGCTGTGGCTGAGCAGAGAAAAGCAGAAAAAATAGCCGAACAAGAGAGATCAGAACTGGAACATGAACAAGAGAGAGCAGAGCGGGAATGTGAGCAAGAGAGAGCAGAATGGGAACGTGAACAAGAGAGAGCAAAGCGGGAATGTGAACAAGAGAGAGCAGAATGGGAACGTGAACAAGAGAGAGCAGAGCGGGAAAGTGAGAGAGTTTTTGAATTGGAGAAATTAAAATTGATGAATGTGGTTGAGACTAATAGCCTAGCTTCCACGGTTTCGAAAGTTGAACAATCTAGAGAAAAAAAGGTTAATTTGAACAATACGCGTTTGAGTAATATAGATATTTCATTACTCTTTATGCTACTTGAGAAACAGGCTCAAAAGGAGAACATTAATGAGATCAGCTGGGTCTCGCAATTATTCCTTTATTACCTCATAATGTAGCTCAGTTAATAGTAAACGAACCAGCGAATAAATGGGATGATCATCAGCACGTTAAGAAATTACTCATGCATAGATTCAAGCTCAGCTCTTTGGGCTCTAAAAACAAAATTTGAAGAACTTCTAGAAAAAACGGAATGTTATGGGTGGATTTAGTGTATGAATTGAGAGTGTATTTAGAGAATTGGTTGGATTCAGTAGGAAGTTCAAGATTTTGAAAGTCTTAAGGAACTTGTACTCACTGAGCAAATTAAGCGTGCGCGAGTCCCTCTAGAAATAAGAGAGCACTACTTAGACAATTGGGAAGAAATTTAAAACAGCTTTTCCATTTTAGCAGAGAAATGCGACAGGTATGAGGCTTTGAGAAGAGATACGAGGAAGGTTAGAACAGAGAGCGGGGTTAAAGAAACCATTTGAGAATGATAGAGAGCGGTATATAAATTCTAACTGTAGTTATAATCAGAAAAGTAGTGGTCATCAAAGAATTAAATCAGAGGAGCATAGAAAAGTGGATGGCTCCTAAAAAAAAGCAAGTTTTCAATGAAGCAGGTTTTCGAGAAACAGCGAGGAAAATAAGGTGTTACCAATGTGGAAAGGACGGAACATATACGACCTAACTGTCCCATCGCTGGAAAAGAATAAGGCTAATCTGGCGAATAATCTAGGAATCGGGAGAGTTTAGGAAAATGTTTTGAGCCGTATTTCAAGAAAGGAGTAATTAATGCGGATAGAGAAGAGAATATCTGAGAGATACTGGAGCTGGAATAGATCTGTGTAATAGTACTTGGATTAATACTAGTTATTTATTAGGGGAAACTGTATGGGTGAAACAGCCTTTGGACACAGAATGTAAATGTTTACCTTTGGCGAAAGTCACCATTGAAGGTGATTTTGGTGTGTGTCACCACAAAGCAGCGGTTACTCCGGTAGACTTAGATAAGAGTACTATTTGTTAGGGAATAAAACTGCACATTTGATTGAGGAAATTAGGGAATGACCAGTTCTCTTGAATGCTGTGGAGACTCGTAGTCAGGCGCATGCGCTGAGGAGTTTAGAGAGAGTGAGTGCAAAAGACTTGGATTCCAGATCAGAAGAAAAGAAAGAGATAGAAAGTGAAAGGCCCGTCAATAATGAGCATTCGGAAGAAAGGAAGTTAACCAGTAATACGGAGGAGAACATTAAAATTCCAGACATCAGTTTAGAGGAAAGGGCTATCCTTGTGGATGTTTCGCCAGCAGAATTCTCGGAAGCACAAGCAACAGAAACTCATGATAATGTTCAACACCAAACAAAATTTATTATATCGCATATTAAAGGAACACAAGATCTGCAGAATTCGATATTCGAAAAACCCACTTCTATCAAGAGACGTTTTCTTCTGAGAAATTGCTTCCAAATAACCTTGCTGTAAAAATGATGTCAACAATTATAATGCTGAACTGAATCAATGCATATGCTATATGGCGTGCAATGTATAAGGAGACATTACCAGCCATTAGCGAGTTTTCTTTGGATGAACTGACAAATCATAAAGTCAGGAAAAAGAAATTGGGACCTCATCCAAATATAGTTATAAATGTTGAAGAGTGTTCTATCTCAGTGATTGATTATTCGAGATCAGATCTACAGACAGCAGGAACTTTAGCATATGAAGTATATAGAGGAGCCAATCCTTTTTG